GCATAACAACGGCCCGAGTCTCACCAGGAAAACTCAAGCCCTCAGTCCAGCCTCTCTCAGCCTATTGCGGACAGTCTGAGCACTGATGGAGGGCTTGTGTGTTCCTGGTGTGACTCGGGCAGTTGTTGTGGCCATCCTGTACCTGTCACGTAGGTGTGATATTCGGATGTGCATGTTAATTAATTGATTATGGTTAATTGAACATGCATGGAAAACATTGTTTAAACCCTTTACAATGAAGATCTGTAATGTTATTTGGATTTTTACAACATTATTGTTGAAATACACAGTCCTGAAAAAGGGACGTTTCTTTTTTTGCTGAGTATATATATATATATAGTTTTTAAAAAACATTTCAATGTATATAGATAAATATTTGCAGGCCAAATAAGTATGCTTTTGCAGGGAAAACTCAAAACATTTACATATATTTTCATCTTTAATTTTGTATCCTATGTGAGACACATTGTGCTGTATTGATAATGTGAACCGTGATGAAAATAAAAGTGGTGATTATTATCATTTCCTCTTTAATTAATGCTCTCTGGTCCTCATTGTATATATGTGAAATATTTTTAGGGTTTTTTTTGTTTAGATTGAAATGTTTGCATGATTGATTTCATTTTCACCATGTGTTACATTTTTATTATTCTTTGCCGAAAATAATGGGGTTATTTAGAAAGATTTTATACATTCTGGTACAATGCATAATCAAAATGTGAGTCAAATAAAGCAATCAGTCTAATTTCTGTTGGGTGTGTCTTTCTCTTAATATTCTCACAGAACCACATGAAGCAGCACTTTGCTCAGTGTCTGGTGCTGTTTTCCATACCTTTAATATCTTTCTAAGAGCAGGGATTTCGGTGTGGACAGCAGGGACATGTCCCTATCAAACTGTAGGAGTATGTGTGTGTTTAGGGGGGCAGGGGGTTGGGGGCTGATTTGGCCTCCACCAGTGTTGAAACCAAACCTATTCCCTTGCATCTTCCCTTTATCCTTTATCTTAAGATGCTGAGAGTTTCAGTTTCAGAATGATTAATATTCAAAAGGCTGAAACAAGGGAAACAGGGAGAGGGAAAGAAATAATTGCAGAAGACAATGGAGGGGGGGACTCAAAAACTTCCAAATAAGGAAAAAAGGGGTCAAAGTCAACTGGGGGCCGAACCCCCTGGCGTGTGAACATTAGAGAATTCATTTTACTTGCAGAACTTTACAGATTTAACTGTGCTTTGAAAAAAATAGTTGTTGCTTAAAGGGGAAGTGGCTCCTATGTGCTGCTTTTACATGTCAACCACGGCGTCAGCAGGAAATGCTACGAATAAAGTCAATAGGCCCATTATTTTGAGTTCATAATCAAATAGTGATGGAAAAACCAAGTATGTTTCCACCCTTGCTATGTATGACACCTGTCGTGCAAACGAAAACTATTGTGGTTGGAAAAAAAGAATGAATTAACCACGAGTACATATTTGGCAACCTCAACAGGCTAGTAATGTAAGATGGTAGAAAACAGCAGCTGAGAAACATATGAATATGAATGTATGTGTTTAGATGCCAGAAAATGGACTGGCATCCCTCCCAGGATGTACCTCTGCCCTGCACTGCCTGGGACAGGCTCCAGGACCCCCCCCCCCCAAACCCAAATAAGCGGTAGAAGGAGAAACAGTGACACTAACAAGGTAATGCACCTTAGGCACGGGGGGTGTCCCCCAGTCATTTGCTAATTGAAACTTCTTTACATCAATGCACCATCACAATCTTTAATTCTAATTGGGGGTCCCCAAAAATTCAGTTTTGCCAAACGGTAATGCCACGGTTTGCTGTTACCCTAATACCCCCCACGTTTCAACAGTAGGCTAGTTTTAGGAATAAATGAGTTTTTGGTTCACAAACGTGGAAAAAAATGTCTTCAACTATACAAACGTCTAAGCTGTAAGTTTGGTGACCATGGTTTAGGTGGGTTAATGACCTCCAAGCTGTGCATTTTACGTTTTTAAAAGGACCCCAAAGTTCTTCACCTCTCCTGGGTGTTTAAAAAGGTATAATATATTAACCCTTACTTAAGGAGCAGAGCCATTCCCTAGGCCTACTTGTGCAAAAAACTACCTTGACTAGTAATGTTCAGTACAGGGCAACGGTGTCATACATTATGCCAAAACTAACATCATTTACCATTAACAATGCAGACAGTGAATCCATGGATAGCACTTTTTCCCAACATCTTCAGCGGTGTGTGTGTGTGTGTGTGTGTGTGGGGGGGGGGGTTGAATCCTGTCCCTCCTCTATATGAGTGGAGTCAGTCCGTTTCCCTGTGTCACACAGGATTCCTTCAACAATCAAGATATTCAATTATGTGGAATGACCTCTGTAATTGCCTATATTGCTGAAAATATGTATGAATTGCGATGAACAGGCGACCTGCTGCACCCCTGCCAATCCACCAGTTAGGCCAACAATTTTCCCGCTTAACACAGAAATCCGACGTACTACTTACTATGATTATTTACATTTTGCGTATTTGATCATCTCGGCCGATAAGCGCCGCTCTGTCAGGATGCCCGCTGCAGAATATCTTCGCCTCCCCCTCCACCCATCGTTAGCCCCCCAGATTGGTTTCTTTGTAAAACTTACTGTACGATAGGTCGCAGACCTCTGTCCTATAGATTCCCGTACTACATTAGCAATTGGAACACGGATGTATAATGATGAAATGTTTACTTAAAAAACAATGACACCTAGTGGAGACTGTAGCATGTAGCACACTAGGAAATACGCTATATTCCTGAGGACAAACAGGAGATCAAGGACAAATAATCTGATCTTTTGGCTGAAGGGACAAGTAGCAGAAATAGGAGTTCGGTCGGTGGAAGAAGGAGAAGGTGTGAGACCACTAACTACACTAAGTCACTCTAAGAAGGAGTAACGTTAGATGGCGGTTCTTTGGCGTGATTAGGCCTACAAAAGCAGAAAAAATGGTGTGAATGTGTATAACAATATAAAATATTTTGATGCTCTTTAAATAGAAATCTACCCCAAGCAGTACCACAAAGGATTTATTCTACTACGAAAGCCAAGTACATGTCTGAACAAACTTACTTGCGTTTTTCATTTCACTGGGAACAGAAATACTATGGATCTGGAAACGCTTTAATTCCCTCTTTGCCTAAATATCCCCCATTTCCCTGGACTGCCGCCTCGGGACCGCGCTGCCCACGTGACCCCGATCAAGTTTCACTCTCTGGGATTCGGTGCGGAATTCCAGAAAAAGAGTCGGTCGTTATTCCGAGTCAGACTATCAGAGTTGACCTTGCTCATGACTTGGATATAAATATATACAATCACCTTTACAAGTACGGGTTTTGTTGCGGAGAGCACGCACAACTCAACAGTACGACGCACTTTTTATTTCGCGTGCATCAGCTCATTTTTCTCCGTTAAATAGCCTACTGATCATTTCACTAAGCAGCCGCCGGTTAACTCGGTGATCGCGGATAGAGGTCGATTAACCCGAAAAAACATTATCCGGTCGCATTTAGCTAGAGTTATGGCGACGCAGACCTTGAGCAAAGATGATGTCAGCTACAGGCTTCATTTCCGCATGATCAACGAGCAACAAGTGGAGGATATTACCATCGAGTTTTTCTACAAGCCTCACACGATCACGTTGCTCACTTGCACCGTGATCAGCTTGATGTACTTCGCTTTTGCAAGGTGAGCGACGATACAATTCGCGTCTTGCGGGCGCCAGTAACTTGCAGCAGCAGTTTGCTGCTCGATAATGTTTGTCATGGTCGCGTGTTTTGCCGATTAGCAGCATACTCATGTTGCAACAGCGATGCGAAACGTTGTTTCCTTCAGTCATAAATGTTCAGCTAGTTACGGATATTATTTACAGAAGGGATTGGTGTGAAAACAGATCGCCGTTAAACCCCTGAGGCTCCTGTCATTTTAAGGACCTCCTTTGGCAGTTTTTCTTAATTTGCAAACAGGAATATTCCCACGTTTCGTCCTTGCTTCCCTATGGGGACACGCCCACCTCAATGATATTATACCGACGCCAGATTTTTGTTTGTTAATATTCAGTTAATCGTTCAAAACTGCACTCTGGATATTTTGGGGCGTAATCGCAAAAGGTTGCCAGTAACAGTGACGTGTTAAAAGACTGGGTGATTCCTGTGAATAGGCTTCCATTTTCCAGCTATCTTGTTTCTCTGTTGTCTTTGTCACACGAACCGAGTGCGTTTATTAGTTCTGTTAGCCACCAAATAATAAAATGCCACTAAATTACATCAGAGAATGTGATGGAAATCCCACAGACCCTTCTGTCAAAACATAGAAAGCAGACACGCAGATATTGCAGTCAACTCCTTTCACGATGCCGACTGTACCCAAGCAATTAAGTGTCATTTCCATCCCATCTTTTCATATAAATGCAGACAGAAGTTCAGCGTTTTTAAATAGAGCTAAAAAGTGCAACAAAGTTTACAACTTGTATGTGTGTTTAACTTTGTATTTAACTATTTCACACCCTTGCAAACCTGGCACAGGTAACTGGTGGTTGTTCCTCTAACAGGAATGACACGGATCCAGACAGCAACTTAAGAGTGGGCCTCCTGTTGGCGATCTTCTTCTTTCTCATCATTAGTGTCCTTGCCTTCCCCAACGGTACGACACTTTTACTGATCGCACGTGGGCAGTAAGTACGAATGACTGATCCACGACATCAGCTCCTTTCACTTGGGGGAAATTGTATGGATTTGGATTGGATGCGCCATATTGGAACCCAGGGAACTTTAAAATAGGAATTATAAGCCATAACCGTGTGTCTGTTTCAGGTCCGTTCACGAGGCCACATCCAGCGATATGGCGCATGGTTTTCGGTGAGTTGCGCTGTTTGTATAACCATACAAAACATGTTGCTGGCTTTAGTTTATTTTTAAGTTAAGCTGAGGGATAATTACAATTGTATTAATTGACTGTCTAGCTTCAACGACAGGGAATTACTGGTGTAGCGCTAATCAGCACCTCTGAGGGCCACCGGAGGGGTTTGTTCTATAAATTTGTGGCCGCAGTTGTCATTTCCCTGAGTTCGACGTGTCCCTGGGTCAACAAGGGAGGGGCTTATGTTTCGCTTCTTTAACCAATCAAAATCTTCGTTGGATGACATAATCACATCTGTCTATTTTTTTCTAATTTTCAAACTCAAGGCTTTCAGCCATCCAGCTGTCAGGTCAGGGGTAGCGTGTGAGTCAAGCTGAGCCTCTGTGCTTGTGATCAGAAGATTGCCGGTTCAAGCCCTGTTATTGTTGTTGGTGTTATAATAACAGTAATAATAATTATTATTACTATCGCCATCATTAAATAAAATCACCCCCTTACATTGCTCTGTAAGCATATCCCTATGCTTTGTGTTTATCTATGACATGTCCCTTAACGAAAGGCATACACAATAAAATAGGTACTTTAGAAATCTGTGCACATTGTTGCTTAACAAAAAACACCGGTTTTAATTAATATGGTGATAAGATGAAGACTGTAATTGGTTAAAGAAGTAAAACGCAAGCATCTCCCTTGTTAAGCCAGGGAGGTTGAATTAGGATGTGCCAATTAAGTTATATTAAATAACATTACCTCTCTCCTTGCACCCATTTATCTGCAATGCGATTCTGGATAGACAGAGTATGTGATGTTCAGATGTAAAGTGAAGGGACAAGTCCAGCAAATGCTGAAATATTAGTGTGTGTGATTTAATGCTGGAGTAAAACTCATTGCTGTTAAGTTTATGTGTGACTTTTTATATAACTCGTAAATCTACTTTTTTTCATGATGTTCTCTCTGCCATGTACACGTTTAGGTTTAAGTATCAATGATGTCTTTAAATCATACTCATCCTGTGGGCACTGCTTATATCATAAACCATACCTCCATGTTACTGGAGCAGAGGATCTGTTGATGCCCTTTATATGAGCGAAAGCTCGGTTTTATTGAAAGTCCAGTGAGATTTTCACGGGCCTGGTGGTGTGAGGATGAGGGCCAGCCAGTCACATCCCACCGCGAAGGTTTGTTTCCTGCAGGTCATTGTTAGGATGCGCGACTGTAGTGTGCGTGTTTTTGTGAACGGATTAATTTAATCGTCTGTGGGTGAATTGCAACCAACAGAAAATATGGCGCTGGAGTGGGTCTCCTAGTTGGCGTTTAGCTTTGCATCGAATTAGCACGGAACCTCAGTACCAGATGCAACTTAGTCACAGAAAAAAGTCCAGATTTACAGACTAAAAAGATCACAATTGAAATACAAAGTTTATTGAAGTTTATTCAAAATAAGATGTGAATAATACTGAATGTAGATTTTAAATGCTTTAAGTAAAGTAATATGAAACAAAGAGTGTACAGAGATAAAAGGAACATTATTACTGGGAAAGACTGGGGGCAGCTTGCAAACCAGCAATGTTAACCCTTTCATTTCAAAATGTACTCGCCTTTTGTTTTATTTTTTTATATTACAACATAAATGTAATTGTAACCAGTTATGGTTACTGAGAAGAAATATATAATTAAATTAGTTACTGATTGAAGTGTGGGTGATTACAAAGGGGTTACACCTGAATATTCTTTTCAGTAAAAAGCTTATATGTAGAATATAACATTAATTTTGTTGCTTTGCATCTTTTTACTGTGCAGAAATGCCGCCTTTTGGCACATTTCCAGACAACGCAACTTGTGACTGTGACTCTTTATACTCAACTGCTTGGTTGAAACAAAATCTTGGTCTGGATTTGTAGTCTCTGGGCCTGAAATCTCCACCTCCAGTCAGAAGTGAATTCATTTATTGACCGACTGACAAATTATAATATCTAGTGCTGATTAATAAGAGAAAATTTGCATTGTTACCCACTTTGGAAATGAAATCTGAGACCGTGTCTGATTGCAGCTTTTTGTTTGTGATTTTTGCACTTTGCACTTTGCACCTCTGCACCATTGCACTATGTTCCTTACTGCATATACTGTACTTCATTGTTGTATATGTTTCTGTACATATGGTATACATGTTTCTGTACTTATGGTATACATGTTTCTGTACATATGCTATACATGTTTCTGTACATATGGTATACATGTTTCTTGCTTTATGTTTGTTCTGTGTAAGTACTTTGAAATCAAGGAAAAAAACGAAATTCCTTGTATGTGCAAACAGCTGATTCTGAGTCTGATTTTTGCCGCAGGTCTCAGTGTTCTGTACTTCCTCTTCCTGGTCTTCATCGTCTTCCTGAACTGGGAACAGGTGAAGAGCCTGATGTACTGGCTGGATCCTGATCTTCGCTACGCCACCCGTGAAGTCGAAGTCATGGTAACCTGAGTTACACGGGGAATGGGGTTTTCACTGCCGGTTCTTGCGTGACGGCTGCTCCTTTCGCCCTCCCCGCTATGCAGGAGTATGCGGTGAACTGTCACGTCATCACCTGGGAGCGCATCCTCAGCCACTTCGACATCTTCGCCTTCGGGCACTTCTGGGGCTGGTCCATGAAGGCGCTGCTCATCCGCAGCTACGGACTCTGCTGGACCATCAGCATCACCTGGGAGCTGACGGAGGTACGCAGCCGCGATCCAGCGGGCAGGAGTACGGGGCCGTCGCGTAGCGCTGGCGAAGACCCGGGCGAAGACCCGGGCGAAGACCCGGGCGAAGACCCGGGCGAAGACCCGGGCGAGCTGCAGCCTTCTTATCAACCACCAACACCTGCAGACGTGTGGAAGATGGGCGGTATCTGGCTTATATGGATCAGCCGTTCTTACTAAGCAATCCTAACATAATGAGTTCTCATGTTAAAATGTTTTTAAAAATTCATAAACAGTTTAATTTGTATAATTTGAACCTCTTTCCAGGATATCAACATGCATCATCTTAGCTGGCCTGAATGTATCATCACACTCACTGGGGTTTTGCTATATGTCTGTTACTTATGTGTAAAGTAAACATTTCTGAATTACCATGCTGACGTAAAGTTGGAGAAAGGCCCTCGTGGGGCTGTGACTGCAGGTGGAGCCCGGCTGTTATGTCGGGGGTGTCGGAAGCCTTCAAAGAGGTTAGGGAGGAGGGAGCGATGGGGGAATGAGTCACCCGAGCGACCTGAGGTGCTCCGTGCCGTAAGCCGGCCGTAGAGGGGGCTGTCGGCCCGCTGGTGCTGGGCTTTCGAGAGTCAAGGATTCAGGGATTGGTCATGTGCAAGGGTTGCGGTTAAAAGAATAATCAGAAATAAACAGTATGATAAATGTCAAATAATTAATCTGAGTGGTACATGTGTAAGGTGTGAGGGTGAAACGGTGTTGCGATACGTGCAGGTAAATTAGACCGACGGTTTCCCACTGATATTTGTGTGTTTCATGGTATGTGCAGAATTGGGTAATTTAGGTCCAGAGAGTAAAAGTCCAGACCAAGATTTTGTTTCAACCAACCAGTTGAGCGTAATGAGTCTCAGTCACAGGGTACTCAACTAGTTGGTTGAAATAAAATCCTGGTCTGGACTTTTACTGTCTAGACCTGAATTACCCAACTCTGAGTGTGTGAGTGGTGATGGGCAGGGGAACAGCGTCATGGCGCCCAGTGAGTCGGCTTCCGCTTGATGCCGCCTGATCAGATGGCCATCAGTCTCGTCTAGCTCACAGTCAAGCTAAAGCAAACGACCACCCCCCCCCCCATACTTCCAGCTGTTCTTCATGCATCTTCTGCCCAACTTTGCTGAGTGCTGGTGGGATCAGGTGATCTTGGACATCCTCCTGTGCAACGGGGGAGGTATCTGGCTGGGCATGACCGTCTGCCACTTCCTGGAGATGCGGACGTACCACTGGGCCAGCATCAAGTAGGTCTGCCGTTTTCTGAGTGCTTTTCGGTAGTCTCGGTGACCACCCACCCAGTCTATGAAAGCGCCCCCCCCCCCCCCCAGTGGGTGTGTGGCATTTCAGGCTTATGTACATGTTCTTCTGACCTGCAGGGACATACATAGCACTACGGGGAAGATCAAGAGAGCCGTGCTGCAGTTCACGCCTGCCAGCTGGATCTACGTGCGCTGGTTTGACCCCAAGTCGTCCTTTCAGAGGGTGGCGGGCATCTACCTCTTCATGATTCTCTGGCAGGTGAATTTATATTCTAAGCCGGTGTTTCTCCTCCCGTTTCTCCTCCCACTCATTCAGACCCTCAGACAGTCCACATTTTTGCTCCCTCTCAATTCCTAGTTCACTTGAACCAAAGGATCAAGCAATCAAGAGCAGTGAATTCCTGGTACAGGTATGCTGGGGGCTGGGAGGGAGCAAAACTGTGGAGCGTCTGGGGACTGGGTTGAGTATCAGAGATATAAGCAGCTTAGCATTTAGGCAGATTTTTCTTAGCCTGCCATTGCAGAAGGAACCCCAGTCAGGGCCGTTCTTAAAGGTTTCGGTGTTCCGGTTCTCTCTCCTCAGCTGACGGAGCTCAACACATTCTTCCTGAAGCACATCTTCGTATTTCAGGCTTCCCACCCCCTCAGCTGGTGTCGGATCCTGTTCGTCGGTATTATCACGGCCCCCACCGTGCGGTAATATTACTGCTTTATTTTCTCCGCTAACCGCTAATTCTTATCTGCTCCCAAACACGTTAGACACACACGCACAGTGTCGTGGTACTTTTTATAATTGTCTTCACAAAGGGAAAAAAACACTGGTTTCACGGACAAAGCTCTTTAACAAATATCTAATAAACCACTTCACTCACAAAATAAAGCTTTATTGCAGTCTGTAGTGAAATGTTTACAGAAATGCTGCATTTTTGTCTGGACTCATTGAATAATGTGGTCTAGCGTAGTGACAAACCAGACCAGACCAGCACATTCTTCATCTCTTTCCAGTTTGAGATTTATGTTCTGTATATATACTCATGTATTTAGTCTTTTTAATCGCCTGTTCATTTAATCTGAAGTGCTGTTTCATACATGCCACCAGAAACTGTTTGCATTGAAAACTAGCCTCATGTTTTTAACTGGAATTGTTCCTGTTTTGTTTTAGGCAGTATTATGCTTATCTCACCGACACACAGTGCAAAAGGGTTGGCACACAGTGCTGGGTCTTTGGGTAAGTGATTATTCACTGTAGTTTTTAGATTATATAAAAAGATTTTAAAACATTTTCTTGCTGCATCGCATAGTTGCATTTCCTGTTAGGATTCTTCCGGTAAACAAGTGTGTATCCCAGTTAGATGCTTAGATCATGGACTGAGCCTTAGTCCACGCTAAGCAAAGAGCGCTTTAGTGTATTAACTGTGTGCATCAAGTCCAGCTACAAACCAGCTGCAGACACCCTAAGCAGATTTCCAGTCAGATGTACAGTATCGGGCTGATATTTGTCTCTACTCACAAAGTAAACTGCAAAAGGTGTCATTTAATCATTGTGGGCTGCAGCCAAACTTCCCGATGTGACACATCTTCTTTCCCGGGAATATCCTTATAGCCTTTTCCCCTTCCATCCTGGCGTGTGGGGGAGCAGGGGGGGTTACAGCTCCGTGACAGGGCTTTTTGCTGAAACTTTCCTGTGGTGCTGATTCCCTCTTAACACAGGGCCATCGCCTTCCTGGAAGCCCTGGCCTGCGTTAAATTTGGCCAGGACCTCTTCTCCAAAACTCAGGTCCTCTACGTCATCCTCTGGCTCCTGAGTCTGGTAAGATCCTGGATCCGTGTCTCCAGGTTTGGGGTAGGGGTGTGGGGGATTCCTATCGTCACCTCTTTTTTTTGGGGGGGGGGCACTTTCAGTTTGTGTGTGAGTGGAACCTGTGATGGATTGGTACCTGATAAATAGCTGTGGAACATTTATGATGGATAGATCTTAAATAGTGTTCCTCACACACGAACACGATGGAACATGAAGATCTTTGTAGGCTAAATACAGAATGTAGAGGTTGGATGCTTATAGAAGTTTCTAAACCATCAACTACTTTAAAACTGAGAGGACCGGTCCCTTAATCCAGAAGTCTTTCTTTGACTGCCGTTGCTTGATGTATCTCTATCTTAAGGCCTTCATCACCTTCCTCTGCCTCTATGGGATGGTGTGGTACGCGGAGAGGTACGAGACGCATGACAAGGTGAGCGCGGGATGCCCCTTCCCACATGCCCCCCAGGCATACCCCTCCCCAAATCACTGGCTCCGTTCCCAGGCAGCATGCATGGTCAAATCTCAGAATGCATGACGTGCAGGGGCAGTATGTAGGGCCTCAGGGTTTTTTAATGGAGAAATGGACAATGGAGAGACCACTAGACAAATGTGTCATGTTTGTTTACATACCTCTTTTTCAGAACCATTCAGAATGTGAGGATTCCTACGACAGAAATTCGAAAGACTATTGGCCTAAAAGGATCAGAGGTACAGAGGTATTCTGTAACTGAAAAGGCTTGTTGGATATAAACAAAGTGTGACCAGTTTCATAGCCTGACACATCCAGTATGTAAATTGGCTCTCCTTAAATTAAGGGACAAAGTACCTTGTCTAACAACTGTTTTTTTTTTCTTCTTCAATTAAATGTAATTGAAAGGCAAGTTTTACTAAGTCGTTTCTGAAGGACACATGAAAATACTGTGCAAAATGTGTTGTTCTTGTACTCCTGTACCCTCCCCCACCCTGGTCTGAACTTCAGGAGAAGATTCAGGGGCTGCCTTTTGCTCATCCAAGCAGAGGAGGAGTGTGGGCAAGAACAAGGCGGGCAATGGGCAAGACAGGCGGAAGTGAAGACTGGTTTGCCCCTCCCCCCCCAACACCGCTACCACCACCAATACTGTCAGAGACTGGGAATCAGGCATAGAATTGATCTCTGTAGAAGATCTCTACAATCTGAGAGCAAAGAAGAGCAGAGGGGAACGAATCTAGATGGTTGGGTGGAAGATGATATCTGGTGTGATGCCGTCTGGTCATTTTGGACAAACTGCTGTTTTCATTGTACCTCGTGACCTGCTCCCAACCTGTGAGAGTCCTGTGTATGTTGCAGGATAACAGTTCTTCATTTTGACTGCAGAACCCAAGCAGCCAATCAGAGTGCAAATTACTACTGTGAATTTGCGTGCAAGTTCCGCCTATACTATACACACTGTGCTCATTTGTCGGTCTTGAGTATTGTCCTAGTGGCAGTATTTAACACAATAGTGTCTTGCAAGGTATTTCTAATACCAGCATTTATGATTTGAACATAGAGCACTGAACATTTGAAAATATATATATAGAATATCAAGATTTCAAATGGGCAGCTTTGGAAACCCTGGGTGAAACACTTTGAGTACTTTTTAAGTCGTTTGATCTGTGACTTCGGTTTGTAACATTGTGGTGCTTGTTTATGAAGCTGTATTAACAGAACCTGCATGTCGTTGTTTTCTCTTATAGGTTTTCATTATGAGGCCTTAAGTTACCTTCCTAAAATGGGCTTCCTGTCAGTATTGCTTCTTTCCCCTGATGGACATTATCATTCATCTCTGGTACTTGATTCACATTCACTCGTCTGTACTGCTTCCCTCTTAGCTGGTAGGGGTGATGAGATTTGACGGTGACGTTCATCTTCCTGGAAACCATTGCGGATCACGATTGAAAAATTTAATCACATGAATCTGACCGACAGTCATGATAACGTTTGTACAATCTGTCAGCGTCTTGATAAACTTTTTATTGAAGAGTATTTCTTAAGCATGTTGTGTTTTGTATGTTGTAGATTTTGGTTGTATTTTAAGATGCTTTAATAATCACCTGTTTTGGATTATTTTTTTTCCTAACCAATGGGATGATCTTCCTGTAATTTACATGGAAAGTGGTGATAACATTGTATTAACCAAAGGGACACTATTGATATGATACTTTTGTGATGAACTTACATCTAATGAAAGATTCTGTGGCAAAAAATATTTGTGTGTATTACATCCATATATTTATTATGCAGTCAGAATGTTGAGCAGGTGTTCAGAACTGAGCAAAGGGTTAAATTTAAAACATGAAATGGGCTATAAATGTTAACAATGGACTGTACTGTATTTAGGTCATAAAGATTTAAATGTTTCTAGACTGTTTTTCTCAGACTCCCTTTTTATTTTGTTACATTGTGATACATTGTCAGCATAGTAATATATTGACATCTGAATATGTCAAACTTTTAAAATCAGTTATTAACCTCTGAACTCCTGGAGGTGGTGAATGTTGAGATCAGGATATCGGTCACAGTGACTGAAATTTTTTAAAACGCTAATAAAAATATCCTACTTGAAATCAATGTTTCAATCAATCAATCAATCAATCAATCAAATAACCCCTTTTACTGCTTATCTTGAATAGGATCATGAATCTATATACAGTCAAACCTTGGATTGCGAGTGTTTTACAAGACGAGCAAAATTTTAAAATAAATCTTAACTTGATAAACGAGCAAGGTCTTGCAATACGAGTATTACGTATACGCTTTGTTTGCCGAGCGTCACGTGATCAAAACTGAGCCGATGGTTTTTCTCTCACTCTCACTGCGGGATTGTGGGTAATCATTTCCCATGCAGTGTCAGTCGGCGTGCCTTGCTCGTATAGTCAAAATTTAGTAGAAAAGCACCACCCGAATAAGGCCGTAGCAATGCGAGCAATGAGTCTGTTTAACAACAATGCAATGTCCACATTTCCACGAAATCGAAAAGCGGCTGTCATTGGATAGGTTCCTTGTTAAAGTCGCGCAAAAAGAAAAAGATTCCAGTGAGCGAACAGATATGTGCCTACCGGAGGCAGCAAGCTAAGACTGCTCTGCTCAGTCGGGATGAGGCTCGCTGTGAGTGTGCCTACCGGAGGCAGCAAGCTAAGACTGCTCTGCTCAGTCGGGAAGAGGCTCGCTGCATGCTTGAGGCCTGGCTGGCTTAGAAGCAGCGCGAGCTGGATGAGCAGCGAAAGCGGAGCCAACAGGAGCGGCAGGTGGTGGAGTGGCAGTGACACATCCAGGTAGAACAAGTAGTGAGCCTAGGGAATGCCATGATATTGCAGCCCAAACCATCACTGATCCACCCCCCTGCTGCACTCTGGGTACGCAACAGTCTGGATAGCAAGCTTCTCTGGGGCTTCTCCACACCGTAACTCTCCCGGATGTGGGAAAGACAGTGCAGGTGGACTCAGCAGGGAACAATACATGTTTCACATTGTCCACATCCCAAGATTTGTGCTGCTGGCACCACTGAAACCGACATTTGGCTTTGGCAGTGATGTTGACTATGACCTGACCATGAATATTTACCATCTGCAGTATTTGTGGAAACAGGACAGTCGAGGTTTGCATTTAATTCTGCAGTTGGGCAGCTGTGGTTCTATGTTTTTGGATACAATCCAGGTTAGTACTCAGATATCCCTGGCAAACAGCTTCCTGTGGTGTTTGCAGTTACTCCTGTTGGATGTGGTCTGTCCATAGTGGTGGTAAGCTGACTTTACCCTGCATACTGTGGCTCTCGATACACCACAAAGACTTTCTGTCCTGACTTTACCCTGCATACTGTGGCTCTCGATACACCACAAAGACTTTTTGTCCTGACTTTACCCTGCATACTGTGGATCTCGATACACCACAAAGACTTTCTGTCCTGACTTTACCCTGCATACTTTGTCTCTCGATACACCACAAAGACTTTCTGTCCTGACTTTACCCTGCATACTTTGTCTCTCGATACACCACA